TGAGCTACGACACCACAGCACTCTACTGGGGGTGACATAGTGAGACTTTGCCCCCCACACACACACAAAAAGAGGAGGATTTCATCATCCAAAGAGTAACTAAAATTGTAAATGAAGCCAAACTTTCTACAAATACATTGAAATAAGCTCAGTTTGGCTATTCTAAGGATTTTTTTTCTTATATGTAGCTGTGATTATAACTGAAAGGCAGTCATGAGCTTTTGGCTAGCATAGCAACTCTAACAAATGGAATTCCAGTCTTCTGACAGTTCATTAAAAAGCAACAATTGCAAACACTGTAGAGTAGCCAGCTAAGCAAAACCAAACAAAACACACACAGAAAAACTTTGGGAGTGGTTTTATTTTTTAATACCAGGTTATCCATTTAACAGTGGACTGTACTTTCTGGCTTTTGTTTTTTTAAAAAATAAAAGTTTTGAGATATAATTCCCATACCATAAAACTCACCTTCATGGAGTACAAGATATAGTGGTTTTCAGTAGAGTCAGAGTTGTGCAACCAGCACCACTTTCTAACTCCAGGACATTCTTATTACACAAACAAGAAACTCCCCACTCATCAGCAGTCACTCCAAACTCCCTCTTCCCCCATATCCCTGGAAATCATTATACTCCTGCAGTCTTTATGGAGTTTCCAACTATGGAAATTCATATAAATAGAATCAAACAATACATGGTCTTTTGTATTTGGGTTCTTTTGCTTAGCCTAATGTTTTCAAGGCTCATCCATGATGTAAGCACCTATAGGACTTCAGTCTTCTGTAGCTGAATAAAGTCCCATTGTACAGATGTGCTGCATATTGTCTATCCATTCCTCACAAACTGATGAACATTTGAGTTGTTTTCACTTTGGGGCGACCATGAATAAGGCTGCCATGAACCTTTGTGTTACTTTTTTTTTTTTTTATGTCTAACAAGACTTGTAGTTATGTTTTCAATTCTTGGTATATACCTAGGAATGGAAGGGTTGGATGGTACCTCTTTATTTTATTTTTATTTATTTATGCAGGGTTTTTTTTGGCCGGGGCTGGGTTTGAACCCACCACCCCCGGCATATGGGGCCAGCAACCTACTCCTTGAGCCACAGGTGCCACCCAATTCTTTACTTTATTTTTGAGGTACTGTCAGACGGTTTTGTGGAATGGCCGCCCATTTTCCATTAGCACCAACAATATGTGAAGATTCAAATTCCGCCACGTCCTCAGTCACAACTGTTACTGTCCAGCTTTAGTGGACACGCACCTCAGTGGATATGAAGTGGTCTTCATTCCCAAATGGCTAATGATGTTGAGCAGTTTTTCATCTGCCTATTGGCTATTTATATATATTCTTTGGGAAAATGTCCAAACCCTTTGCCCATTTTAAACTGAATTATTTGTCCATTTATTGTTGACTTGCAAGAGTTCTCTATACATTCTAGATATGAGGCCTTTATCAGATACATCCTTTACAAATATTTTCCTCCATTCTGTTAGCTTTCACATTCTTGTTGGTGTTCTTTGAAGCACAAAAGTTTTTATATACTTTTATAAAGTCCAATTAGTCTATGTTTTCTCTGCCTTCACTTTTACTTCCTGCCTGCACTGAACATCAAGGTCAGCCAAAGGTGAGATTAGGGACCTCTCAGGTTTTCTGGGCATGTGCACAGCCCTGTATGTGCACATGACCCTCTAGATTCCCAAAACTATGTTGGTGTTTTTCAAAGCCCCCTTTGAACATCTTATTGGCAGTTTTTCCCTTAGAGTTTTTTCTGTCTTCCTCTATTTAGCTCCAACTTGTACTGCCATGTCAGGCAGCTGAACAGACTGTTTTCTTTCTTTTTTTTTTTGAGACAAAGCCTCAAGCTGTCCCCCTGGGTAGAGTGCCGTGGCATCACGGCATCACAGCTCACAGCAACCTCCAACTCCTGGGCTCAAGTGAGTCTCCTGCCTCAGCCTCCCAAGTAGCTGGGACTACAGGTGCCTGCCACAATGCCGGCTATTTTTTGTTGCAGTTGTCATTGTTGTTTAGCTGGCCTAGGCTGGGTTTGAACCTGCCAGCCTGGGTGTATGTGGCTGACGCCCTCGCCACTGAGCTATAGGTGCCGCCTAGAGTACCTACTCTAAGCACCAAGCTACACCCTCTCTACTAACCTGATCCAAAGAGCCAAAGGAGAAGAAGTTTCAGCGTCAGCAATATTTAGGATGGGATAAATATATCTATTAGACCGCAGGCAAAAAGGAAAAAAATAGACATATACGAAGAAGACAATATTTAGCATTCTGTATTCTCTGCTTTCAGTAACACTTCTCACATTTTAGGGAACATATGTTACACCAACAGCAAAGTCTTTTTGACTTTTTTTTTTTTACTAACAGCTCTTAAAAAATAACTAAGAATGGAAATTCTTTCAATTTTAAATAATTTTAAAGTTTTGTAGCACTGTTAAAGCAAATCGGATCCTGTATACCTATTAAAAGAGAAAACTGAGAAGGAAACTGGGCTCCAATTAAATTCTCTACATAAAACAATTTATACTAAGAGGAAGTAAGCAAACCCAACAAGAAGGCCCCGAGAGTTGAGTCTTGATTTATTGGTTTACCTCGCTTCTTCGTTGGTTTGGCTGACATGGTCATTTAAATAAGCCTCCTAAAATAGGTTTGCAGCTGTGAAAATATATCATATTAAATATTTGATACTAGCTAACATTATCATCTACTCTTCTTAAGAGACAATGACAACTCAGAAACACTTATTAAAATCATTACTCTTACATTTTTTAAAGCAAAAATCAACTCCCTAAAATACTCACTTTAGAATACATTTTATTGGAAGACTTGGACAAAGTTCCCAAAAACTCTTTTAAAGGTTTCAGAAAAAGATTAGTACTTCATTAGAGCTGAGATGTTACTTCAGAAGCAGAGGTCGATGATATGGTTTGATCCCAGCTATGGAAACATACAATTTGCCATGAAAAAGAAGTCCTATTTTTGCCAGCCGAAACGAAATGTCCTAGATTCCTAAATTATTCTTCCTCCAAAAGGACATATTTCAAAAACCCATTTTAATATTTCCAAAAAGAAAAATGATACTATAGTAGTTTACATCAAGACATCATCCTGCCTCATTAGTTACCTCCCATATTTTGTAAGTGACATAAAAATGGCCACAGAAGAAATCCAAGAAGTCAATAATAGCAACAATAAAAACCAATGAGGCGGCTCGGCGCCTGTGGCTCAAGCAGCTAAGGCGCCAGCCATATACACCTAAGGTGGCGGGTTCGAATCCAGCCCGGGCCCACCAAAACAACAATAATGGCTGCAACCAAAAAATAGCCGGGCATTGTGGCGGGCACCTGTGGTCCCAGCT